AATAATTATTTCAAATAATATTTTAAATATTCTTATATTCAAACTTCTCTGAACTCCAATCTGACCTCAGCCCAAAAGTACTTTGTCATCCCACTCGTACATGAAACCATTTGAGCCTAGCACCAAACAAAATGAGACTGTCATGGAGCCCAAAAACGGAAGGCCCACCTCTCGACAACAGAAAGCTTATTATTAAACAGATCCGAATCTTCCATACCACAGATGAAATTCACAGATTTTCTTTTTCTTTTTCTGTTTCTTTTCTTTCTTCACTAAATTCTAGATTACTTTCCCCAAATTTTCCACCTGATGATAGCATCCTCCGAAATTCATGAAGTTTTTGGCTTAAATTTTCCATCTTGTCTGCAGAATTGGGTCTGATTGGTTGCAGAGAAGATCAAAATTTGCGCTCTTGAAGCCCCAACAAATTGCAGAAATGGTAGGTATTGAAGCCGAAGAAAAAGTGGAGCAGAGCCAACAAACGAGAAAACGACGCCGTCTCACCTGGGACGTAGCTCCTTCGGCAGAACAACCTGAGGTACAAGTTCTTTTTCCACTAGTAATCTTTTCAATTTCCAAGAATTAGGTTTAGGGTTTCTTCTTTTGGGAAATAGAAACCAGAAAATGTGAAATTTTCAGGATAATGTTTTCTTCTTTTTTTTTCCAAATATATATATTTTTAGTTTGTTGGGTTTATGGAAATTGTTTTCTTTTTCTTTTTTTCCCCCTGTTTGGATTTAGGCTGAAGAGGGAGAAAATGGGCGGAAGCGTTGGGCGTTGGTTCGCCACGTGTCTCCACCGAGGAGAGATGATGATCCAGAGGGGCATTATGTGTTTAGTATTGGGGAGAATTTGACTCCAAGATGTGAGTTTTTGTTTTGTTTCTTTTTTGGAAGATCTTCTTTAATATAACTATGGAAATGTTGTGGGTTTGTTTGTAAGATCTGTTGGACATACTTAAAAGTTTGCATGGTTTGTTCACTTTGGTCGTCTTTCTTGCTTTCTTGTGATTGTTAAGTTTTTGAGTTCACTGATGAGAGGTGAAATGTCAAATTTGGTTTAGTTTAGATCGATAAAGTTCTTAAGATTGGTTACTTCATTGATGATCAGTGGTGACGTCAGTAGTGACATTGTAGGTAATTGAAAAAGAATCTTTTTGAACATTGAGATAAACAACAACTTAACAAAATCACTCAATTTAGTTAGATTGGACTAAGAAAAAGAGTTGTAACTTGGAATAGTCATCGTCAATTGGAGCTTTTTTGTTTCTCCAATTGGATACTAGGAGTAAATTTAGGAGTTCAGTGCTTTGTAATTGCTTTGTATTTTCATTTCCCCGTTGGTAATGGTGATAGTGCAGGTTTTGACTGTAAATTCTAGTTCTTTTGTCTTGTTTTAGTTTCAGTATATGAGCATTTTCACATAATGCTATCAAGCTTTTCCATTTCTTTACTATAAGTTATTTTGGAAAATGGGTGTTATATTTTTCTAATACTGCTTGAGCTTGTTAAAATTTTGCTTCTTACAATCAAAATGTTGAGACCTGTGTTCCTTCGTCTCCTTATGCAGATAAAATACTCAGCAGGATGGGTGAAGGTTAGCTGTGACATGCCTGCTTATAACACGACCTTACCTTTTTTGTCAATTCTTCTTGAACAAAATCAGCAAGTTGCTAGTGCTGTAGGCACATTTGGCCGGGTTTTGGAATGTTGGGATCGTGAAGCACGAAATTATGTGGCTATAAAAGTAGTTCGCAGCATACACAAATACCGTGAAGCAGCAAAGATTGAAGTTAATGTACTTCAGTGTCTTGCTAAGAATGATAGAGGCAACTCACAGTATGTGATTACTATTTGAGCAGTGCTCTTTATTTCCACACCATAATTCGCAATGCTTGATTTGCAATAATATGGGCTTTCTGTATGTGCAGTTGCGTGCAGATTCGAAATTGGTTTGATTATCGGAATCATATATGTATTGTAAGTATTCCAGTGATGCTGCTTAAGCAATACTTAAACTTCTCTTTCCTTCTATGGCATTAAGTTTTGCTATTGTGGGGTACCTATACACTTCTAGATGTTAAGCATAAGTTGTCTTGACTCTTGAGGCATTGAAGGATACGTCGAATGCTTCACCTGTCTTAATTCTTCCAGTCTTGCTTTTCAGGCTACATTCTACAGTCCTGTTTCTTGCAAACTCTTTAGGCTTGTTGGTCCTTTCTGGTTAAACTTTGACCACCATGCTATAGTTGTAGTGTATATGCATGGTCTTCTGGGTATATGTAGTTATTAGAATTCATTGTTTATCATAATTTACAGTTAATTTGTCAATAAGTCTGTTAGTAGCAATGATGGGAGCATGACAGACAATTTCGTTCAATGCATTTTAATGGTGTTATCAGGTGTTTGAGAAGCTTGGACCAAGTTTATATGATTTTCTAAAGAGAACTAAATACTGCGCACTTCCTGTGGATCTGGTTCGGGAATTTGCACGCCAGCTTTTGGAATCTGTAGCATGTCTGTTGACTGATCTTTGGTCCATTTGTTTTCTCCAAACACCATGTTGATTTATCTTTCTTACCAGTTGCCAGTTATTTCCTTTGGTCTTTGCTATTCAGGGTTTGGTTGTTTACTAATATGTTTCTTGATTCCATTTAAGATATTAATGATCATTTGTCATGTTAAACAGATATGCATGATTTACGGCTAATTCACACTGACCTGAAGCCAGAAAATATACTTCTTGTGTCTTCTGATTTTATAAAGATCCCTGGCTGCAAGGTGCATGGTCATATCTTGTTAAAACTATTTTATAACTATAAACTGTATTTCTTGTATTAATTAGCTCTTTCACTGTACAGACAATTTCAGATGAAACTAATTTCAGGTTCTTGCCAAAGTCAAGTGCTATTAAGCTGATTGATTTTGGTAGCACAGCATCTGATAATCAGAACCATAGCTACATTGTCTCCACGAGGCACTATAGAGCACCTGAGGTTATTTTAGGTAAATGGTCACTGCTGGAACAGAAACTTTAATATATTTTAGTTGTGTGCATGCTGCCTAGCCAAATTAATGGAGGCAGAAATTGCTGGAAATCTTGAATGAGGACAGAAAGTCTGTGTGTGTCTATATAGGTTGGCAAATGGGTGTGCATAAATGAAACTTTACTGTCTCTAAGAGGGTTCCTTTGAACATAGTTGACGAGTCTGTGAGCTGCCTTCTATGTATCTACGGACAAATACATGTATCTTACTCATCCTTATAAGTTTCAACTTCTTGCAGGTCTTGGATGGAGTTTCCCTTGCGATATGTGGAGCATTGGCTGCATACTTGTTGAACTTTGTTTGGTTGGCCTACTTCATATTTCTGTTTTTCTTCAATTTTCTTCTTCCATTTAACACTTTTAGGGGTAAACAACCTGTTAAATATGTCAAGTTTGTGGATATTGTTTAGGGTGAAGCATTGTTCCAGACACATGAGAACTTGGAGCACTTGGCAATGATGGAGAGGGTATTAGGCCCTCTTCCAGAGCATATGACTAGAAGAGCAAAGTAAGTAAAAATTTATGAGCTGCCTCCAAATATCTCACATTTCTCATGATTGTTTTTTGTGCTTCTTTGCTAGTTTAGTTGTTCTTTTCCTTCAATTTTTTGGGGTTGTTTTTGCAGCCGAGGTGCAGAGAAATATTTCAAGCGATCACGGCTAAACTGGCCAGAAGGAGCAGTTTCAAGGGAGAGTATCCGAGCTGTTAAAAAACTGGATCGCCTAAAGGTCTTACTGGTCCCGTTCCTTTCTTGTTGCTTCCATTTTCCGCCTGGTTGCTTGTGCTTTTTATATGCTTGCCATTGACTTATGGAGTAGAATAAAATTCGTATGCTGAGTTCTAGTCAGCATGATTTATTCAGTTGTCGTTTGCTGTCTCAGGGCTCTTATCCTACCTACTTTACCTGTTTAATGCAGAATCTCATATCAGGGCATGTCGAATTCTCCAAATCCTCGTTTGTTGACTTGTTGCATGCATTGTTGAAGTTTGATCCATCTGAGCGTCTCAGTGCTCGACAAGCTCTTGATCATCCATTCTTTAAGGAGCCAACTTAAACTGCAGGGAACTGTGTAAAGAGCAAAACTTCACCATGTTAATGTGTGTGGGCAATTTTGGAAGGTTAAAGGCGTGGGCTTGCCAATTGCCTGCATTGCTGTTCTGTTGTATATCTTGAGCTTAATCGACTGCTCATTGGCATTGCCATTTCTTGGGCTAATCTATCGAGGGCCCAATTTCCCACTTTCGCCGAAAAGCGTGAGAAGAATGTAGAAACCTGCCTGCTGGGTTTAGTTTTAGAGTTGCCTGGTTCAGTGATCTTCTTGTGAAGATTTTCACGTAAATGCTAGTATATAGGTAGTTGGAATATGCAGTAATAATCATCAACGATCTTGTGCTTCTCATGATGGGAAGGCTTGACAACCAGAACATCTGCAACCTTGGGATCACGATGCTTCTCTTTCGAGCTTGTTAAATTCCTTAAATGTAGAGGATCAAACTGTACATTTACATCCTATGTGTGGTGTTTGTGATACTCAAGCTTGTACCGTATGTGGTGGAGCTGGGTACCATATGGGGTTTCTGTTCTTTTCGTGGAAATTTGGTTCGAACGAAGATGGAAAGGAAGCAAATAAAGAAGATCCAGTTGGTGAAATAGTCAATTTAATTGTTACTATATGTCAAAACTAGTAAAATTTTCTCTTCCAACATCTTATATGTCATAAATGCCTTTCTAGCTCTTAATCTGCTTTTCCAATTTGTTACTTGTACGTGTGCAAGTGCGTCAATTCCACCCCAAATCAATAACGCGGTACTTAACTACACGTCTATGCTATGCAGAAAAATGGTACATTCCTTGGGTCTTTAGATAAAATTCATTTTTCTGCTGTATATAGCAGGCCCTCAAGTAGATCAAATAAGCACATATCAATGACATATAAATGTAGCCACAAAGAGGATTAGTCCTCGGACCAAGTGATTTCAATAGAGCCAACATCATCAGGATCAGAAATACCCAAGGCTTCCCACACAGCTTTTGAACCATCAACAATGTTGTTAGGACATGGAGGCTGGTAGTCATGGTCGTCATCACATCCCATAGTCGAGTCACATTCATCGACAACCATGGCTTGTACGCTTCGACCATTATACCTAACGGTGATGTTGTTGAAGCACCTACTCCCTCCATCGTACCATCCAGTCGAAAGAGCCACGATCGGTATGCTATTGGAGTGGTAGTTGTCATCACACTCTGATGGACCGCCACCATCTCCACCCTTCTCAAAGCTGTTTATAGTAAGAGTAGCTCTTGTTTCTGAAGTAATTGAGGGCGAACACTTGTATGTTTTGTACTTCTCGCCTGCCTTGCAGCAATCAGAATCATTTTCTTGATTGCATTGCCCTGGAGGGGGTGTTTTGCCTGTAATCGTCCCGCTTGGCCTACAGGCCCCAAGTTTGGTAGGCGTAGCCTCTGAAACATTGAAGTAATTTGCTAGGAGAATCAAGAGCAGTAAAAGGGGTGCTGGAAAAGTAATGCTTCTCATTTTTGGTTCTTTAGGCAGGCAGCAGGTATTGAAATGTTGTTTGATGGATGATGCAGTTACAGGATCGAATGAGGGGTTAATATACAGTTCTGACAAGTAAAATGCCAAGACTGTGCTCAAAGATCATTTGGCTTGTGATCTCTTGCATTCAAGAAGTCCAAAGGAGAAGTCAAGCAGATTGTATATGGCCGTACGCGGCATGCCATTATCAGTGCGAGTGTGAAAGTCATCAGTCGCTAGCAAATGAAATAACCAAGTTGGCACGTCAAGAAGGTATTTCTCTTTCAACTATACTTCCACGGCCGGATCAGGTCTTTTCCTGAATGATAATGTGGCAATGTTAATAGTAGAAGTCATGACAAAAACTGACTTGAAGAGGATGGAACATGGATAATGGTTGTCCCCTTTTTAAGTCAGGTTATGGATGAAATATTTCTTGATGCTACTTTAGTTGTCTTGAGTAGAGTATAAATACCTCATTATTTGGGAAAAAATTATTCAATCGCATCATAAACACGTTTCCTAATCATTTAATTTTCTTTCTAAATATCTTTTTTATTTAACATACATTATATCACAAGAATATTCTAATTTATTTTAAAAAACTGTTCAAAATGGTCATTCAACTAATCAATACATATTTTTTGTGATCAAAAGATGTATGTTTTCAATAGTTGAGTGACTAAAAATGAAAATTTTTATTAATCGAGTGCCTAAAAAACAGACGTTTTTATTAGTTAAATGATTTTTTTCCATCAAGAAATTAAAAATGTGCATTTTTCATTTGTGAGGGACAAAAAATTATCACCACACATATAAAGGACTTAAATTATACAAAATCAATATGTTAGAGACGAAAGAATAACATTTCACATATAAAGGACGTAAAAGGTACAAAGCCAACCTGTGAGAGATTATTTCTATGATTTTTTCAAAAAAAAAAAAGACTTAGATACCAAGATTGGAGAATCTATATAATTTAGTGATTTTTTTTTGGCACATTAAAAATGAAAAAAAATAATTTTATCAACAATTCTGAAATACCACAAATGCCCTCAAACATGCTCCTATTTTCAATTTTCACTCTCGAGTCACATGACTGTAATTGTTAACTGCGGAAACAGGCAGATTTGTAACACTGAAAACCCCAGTCGCTGCTGTGGAAGGAAAACCCAGAAGAGCGAAAGGGTTTTATAAATCCAGGCATTTGCAAGAAAAAAACCCTAATCAATCATCTTTACAATCGTTCTAATCAAACAAGATTTTCATATAATTAAGACGCATATACAGACATTCAAGAGTGTGAGTGTGGGAGAAATCTGGGAAAAATGTCGTTTAGGTCGAGGGAAATGGTGAAGAGGATAGTGAAGAAGATAGGGGGTGAGAAAAATCTGGCACCCGGACTCAAAGATGAGCTCAAGAAATCCGTACCCAATTCCAAGGTCGTCATGGGTCGGGCCAACCGCGGCCTCTACGCCGGCCGCCATATCCAGTTCGGCAACCAAGTCAGCCACGACGGCGGTAACAAGTCCGTTCTCCTTTTGCAACCTAAATCACATTTCATATCTCATCGCCATACTTTAGACATCTTATTAGTTACTCCCACCCTGTTCATTTTCGTACTTTCGGTAAAGTTTTCTCATTTCGACTCTTTTTCTTTTTGGAATTTATTTTAAATTTCTGGGCTTTTCGACATTTTAGTGCTTTGTCATCTTTTTTTTGTTTATTGCGATTGTTTCTTGACCGGGAGAAATGCGTCCGCTGGGTGTGTTTGTGTTTTGGTCCTTTTCATTTTATGGGAATTTGTATTGTGTGAAAGATAGTGGAGGAAATTGGAAAGCGTGTTAACATGCAATTTACCGAATGTTTACTGTGTGATGCTTGATATGCTATGTGTTTAGAGTTGTATTTGAAGCTCTGAACTGTACATGGAGAAATTAGATACTGGCCGAGCAGATGCTTTGATGCTGAGAATGAAAAACTTTCATATTTCTGATCAAATGCAGTTTGACATATACCACTTTGGAGGAATTTAAGATGACATTGATACTTGAATTATAGCATTTCCAGTTCCTATTATTAATAGTCCAAGATCAGAGGTTTTTTCTTTTTTCTTTCTGTGGTGAAGTGTCTGTTGATGTAATTATCTAAGGATCCTTGTCACTGTTTAGTCAATTGAATTATGATATGAGGGTGTGTCAAGGTATAACCATTGAAGTCACATGGAGATACGGAACTGGTAAGCAATTTTAACTCCTTGATCTTTCAAGATGCCAAATTAAGCATTCACTGTGTTGATAAATCTGCATCTCTGTTTTCTCAATGAACTTTAGTACGAGGACAGAACAGGATTCAGTAGTGCTTTGTGCTAAACTGCAGGAATTAACCAAACTTTCTAGAGCAGTTATTGCAGGAGCATTTACAAGTTTTTGTGCTCTACATAGATTCATTTTGTTGTCTTTTCCCATTCTAACTAAAGGTATATCTAGGAAATTACCTATGAAATGATGAGAAATTGACCTGCCAGAGAACTCTTTGTTTGGTTAAACTGATAGGTCAAGGAGGTCATGGAAGCCCAATGTACAGGATAAGCGGCTATTCAGTTACATCCTAGATCGTCACATTAAGGTAAAAGTAACCACTCATGCCCTCCGCTGCATAGACAAGGCAGGTGGTATTGATGAGTACTTGCTGAAGACACCATACCATAAGATGGACACTGAAATGGGACTCTACTGGAAGGCTAAGATTGAAAAATTGTATGAAGAGCTTGGCGAAATGGAGGTTGTTTTCTTTTCACCTGAAGATGAAGCCAAATTTGAAGAGCAATTTAGAGAGTTGAAGCTAGAACAGAAGGCAGCCCGCAGGGAAGCCAGGAGAAAGATGTATGGTTGGTCAGGTAAATCAGAGGCAATAGACGAAGGAAGAGCAGATGCCGAGGGAACTCATCAAGAAGCTGCCAGACATGGAGAAGGAAGCTCAGATGCTGATATTCATGAGCCCCAGGTTGCCAATGCTTGAATGCTGGATTGTCTCTTGCAATGCTGTTGGATTTTAGTTATAGTTCCTTCACATTCTGAAACTTCAATTTTGTTGTATATTTTGCAATTTTGGAATCAACTCCCGTATGTCAAAGATGATGGTGCAATTGGCACTTGCCATATGACGCAGGAACTAGTAGATCTCTTTTAGCATATGGATTGGCATTCTTACTTAATGGGGTTTCTGTATATAAAAATGTGCCATCAGATTTGATAAAGAGCCTCTGCTGAAAGGGGGGCGGTTTTGATCGTCAATATGACGTTCTTAGAAATTAAAAGTTAGTTCTATAATAATACATTTTCTAGCATCTAGCAATTCAAGTAATTTCCATGTCTGATTCATACGAGGCATCTTTTTTGTTGTTTCCCCCCCTTTTTTGGGTCAAACGTCAAGATGCAAGGCATCTAAGATATGATCAAGTCATGTAGAATGTTATTGCCCAAAGGGAAAAAAAGCAATGTAGAATGCATAGGCTAATCATGTACTGGTACAGCTTTGGTTTGTGACTACCATTCTTCATACTTGTGTTTCTGGTTTTAAAGCATCCAGTTCTTTATTACCCTGCGTCTCTGCTGTTCTGCGAGTGAAGTACACTGTCTTTAGAAAGTAATTTGCCTAAACGCATACAACCCGAAGGATGTTCTTGTACCAATCAACCTCTCGATTTCTAAGAGCTTGCTTTTTTTTATTTTTTGTTTTTTCATCTACCAATCATTTACTGCAAAGTTCTTGTACCTATAATGTGCTTTTACCACCTAAGTGCTTGAAGAGTACGCTGGCACAGGTGGAAAAGGTCACAGCACACAATGACAATGCGGTGGCTTCCACAAGGATATCTAAACCGCTGAGTAGTGGCAGCTGCAAGGTTAGCATCCCATTTTCTGGCCACCTAAAATGGAATGTTCTCTGGTGACTGATTATCTCTTCGCCATAGAAATTCTTGTCAACTGCCTCACGTACCAGTCCAAAATTTGTGGGCATATGGCTAACCTAGCATTTGAGAGCTACGAGGCTGAGGTGAAGTTCCGACTTGAAATCCTGTTCTGCTTCCTCAATGCTGGTGTTTCCTGAGATGTTGGAGCTGGAGCTTATGGAGGACACATCATTTATAGCGCTTGTGATTTCGACTGCAGCATATCTGATGATATACCCGCCTCAGTAGTTCAAGGCTGAAATTGAGCACCGCAAAGCCAAAAGTTGGAATTTAGTAACTTTGTGCTTTTGATAGGGGAAAAAATCTTGATTGACATGAGATTAACACACACAGGTCGTATAGAAGGTAAAAACTTGTTAAAGCTGCCATTGCATGGCTCAGAAAACCATAATAAACTGATAATTAAGGACATGCCTGCTAATGTTTAAACAATATTAGAAAAAGCACAACTGTCTCTTCCCCGTAATTGGCATCAATGTTGGCCAAGTGTTTTCACAGCATCAGTGGAACTAGCATTGCTTGTGATAGATAAGACAATTTACCATAATTTCCTTTTGAAAAAATAAGAGACGTGGAATGCTGCAAATTGGAAGAATGATCCATGGACTCTCTGTAGTCGCAGATCAGCTGTGAATCTAATGATCTGTTTCATTTCAAAATGGATTACCCCAAAAATAACATATCTCAGATTCATTGCTTCAAATATATACTTGGAAGATAATTCATTTATCCTCATTGCTCTGTTCTGCATCAATTGTAGTGAGGCTTTTTAGTTCATACGACTCACCTTTGGCAGCAGAATTCATCTATTCATATGGGAAGTACGGCACTGTCTTTCTTCCCAGGGATTTATCTACCTTTGGAGCTGACTCTGATTGCACTGGATTGTTCAATACTTTCTTTTACTGAAAGACAAGACGTCATATGGACTGAAAGCAATGGAGCTAGGAGGAGAATTCACAAAAATCTTTCATAAGGGACAACAGATAAAGTATCAATGGATATCTCCAAATTTGGAGAATGGAGCCTGTTCTAACATCAATAATCAGCCAAACTCTGCACAAACAAGAAAAGAGAGATTTGGTTGGATTTTGCATGTGAAAGACGGCGAGAGCGAATGCAGTACAAGCAGCTCACCTATTTTATCCTGTGGGGAACCTCTTTTCGGTTCTTCTGGAAGTCCTTTCTTTAAGCTGTATTTCTGTCTATTGTATTTCATCTTTCTGATTACCAGTAATCTTTACAAGAACAGATTCCATTTTCAAACTTATGGAACCTATTGGCATCTCTAACCAGAAACACCTTGTTCAAAATCATTGACAGACCCTTAATAAATTCATGACAATCCCCACAAACCCTCAAGTTTTTGAAAATTCGAATTGGCTTTTCGTCATCTAGTCCACCACAAACCAGAGCCAGTCCAATGGCCAACTTCTCACTGTGAAGTCTCAATCCTTCTTGCTTTGACTCCTCTTCAACATCGTGCAATGAAAAACTTGTGTCATATGCATAACCTATCTCTTCTTTCATTCTTTTCTCCATTTCTTTCAGAATATCATGGATGCTTTCAAAAAGTGGGTGTGCATCATCTCCGTTATAGAAGAAGTGGATCTGTTTATCAATTTCAACCCAACTACGTCCAGCTTCTTTCTTCAGGCCTTTTGCCTTCACTATTCCTCTTAATTTCTCGCACTCTTTCCAGCAACAAGCATCAGCAAAAATATTTGACATCATGACATAATTAACTGGATTGTCACTGTCCAGTCTCAAGAGGATTTCGCCTACTTCTCTTCCAATCTCAACATCTCTATGAACTCTGCAAGCACTAAGCAATGTCTGCCATATGCCTATATTTGGTTTTAGAGGCATGTTCTCAATGAGATGTTTTGCTTCTCTCAAACGTCCAGCTCGACCTAGGATATCAGCCATGCAAGCATAGTGCTCTACCCTACGTTTTAGTCGATGATCATTACAAAATCTTCTGAAGTATTCTTGGCCTTCTTCAACAAGTCCAGCATGGCTACAAGCTGAGAGTATAGCCAAGTAAGCCACTGCATCGGGCTCAACATTTTCCGACTGCATTCTCTTGAATAGATGAATAGCTTCGGTACCAAGACCATGCTTTCCGTATCCCGTGATCATAACTGTCCAGGAAATGACATTTTTTGCCAGCATATCACAAAAATACCTTTCAGCTTCTCCTATCAGGCCACATTTGAGATACATATCAAGAATTGAATTGGCTACAGAAATGTCTGTACGGGTAGGTTTCTTTTCTGCATATGCATGCATTTGCTTTCCCAGCTCTACAAGAGCAAAATCTGCAAAGACGCCCATCATGCTTGAGACTACAAACCCATCAACAGGAATACTACTATTCCGGAGCTCTCTGAACAAGTCCAGGGCCACAGATAGATTCACTTCCTGAGCATATCCTATTATTAGCGCTGTCCAAGATATCACACTCTTCAGTTCAACGTCATTAAACACCTTATGCGCTTCAAATAAACGTCCACATTTGACATACAAATCAATTAGAGACCCTGAAACGATTTTCTGGTTAAGAAAAGGGATTCCTCTCACGGTTAGAAAAGCATGGATTTGAGTTCCCTCAAGGATGGCTCCAGAAACAGTACAAGCTTTTAATGTGCTTGTGAATGTGTATTCATCTGGTATTTCTCCCAGTTTTTGCATCTTTTTGAACAACAGCAGAGACTTCGCACCCTCCCCTTCTAGGGCATAACCAGCTATCATCACATTCCAACTTATTAGACTTCTGATAGGCATAACATGAAACAAATATTCAGCATCAGATATTTGTCCACTTCTCGAGTACATATCAATGATCGAATTCCCAACCACAGGATACCACTCATATCCTCTTTTACTACACAAACTATGAATCTGCTTCCCGTTTACCAGAGCACCCAGAATTCCACATGCCTTAAAATTTGTCGAGAAAGTAAATTCATTAGGCTTAACGCTTGAAAGTCCCATTTCACGCAAGAGCAATAAGGGTCGTCTGGCATCACCCTCTTGCAAATACCCACACATCAATGCTGTCCAAGAGACAACATTCCTATCAGGCATTCTATCAAACACAGCGCGCGCGAATTCAATCCTACCACATTTTCCATACAGATCTATGATGTCGTTGTTGATCATCAAATCCAACCCATAACCCTTTCTCACTACAGCTCCATGAACTTCCTTCCCCTGATCATACAAAAAATTCTTGGAGCATTTTCTTAATAGTTCAGCCAATCTTTGACGTTCACTCATCAACAAACTTGCACCTTGCTGCATTATACTACCAAAATACTGTTTGCCTCTTTACCTGAATTTCTGAAACGAGAATCAAACAACTTAAGCACCACTTCTCGAGTCTTTTCCCTTTGACTTTTGAAACGCCAAAAGATTGCCAGATTAGTTACCGCAGCACCTCGAGATGTCATATTCCGTTGTTCTGACAATTCAGTCTAGTGACCCTTTCTCGGGAATGAACCCCAAAATGTAATCTGTGAGACCTGTTCGATAAATTTCCTGAATGAGGAGTATCTATATGCATCTATGTGTTTGTTTATTTGTCTACATCAGAACTCCAAGTTCCAACTAATAAACCAGAAGCCTCAGCTGGCAGCCTGGTAGAGTTACTCCTACTTTTGGATAATTCCCAGAAAAAGTTTGGTTTTATTGAAGTTGTTAATGGCCAGCCAAGCAGGATTCTTGACAATGAGAGGGGTGGAAGATATGCTCTTGCCCATGTTAAGAAATTGCAAGAATATGTCACACTTGAAGAGAGTACATTCCCAAATGGTCAAGTTTTCTCTCGCACAAAGCAATTTCTTGGTGACCAAAATGGTGGATATTTGTGTTCAAATTGGTGAAATACAGTATGCAAGTTTGCTATTCAGGCAGGTTCTTGAGCCTAATATTTTCTTGTGCAATGCTATCATTAGAGCCTATACAAATAAACAGATGTATCTCTTGACAATAAATGTATACAAGCAGATGCTAAAACAGCCACAGGGTGAAGAGCCCATTTTCCCTGACAAATTTACATACCCTTTTGTTCTTAGGTCTTGTGGAGGACTTCTGAATGTTTGTTTGGGGAAACAAGTTCATGGGCATGTTTGTAAATATGGGTTGAGGTCTAATAGAGTAATAGAGAATTCAATGCTTGATATGTATGTGAAGTGTGATGACATGAGGGAGGCTCATAAGTTGTTTGACGAAATGGGTGAAAGAGATGTGATTTCGTGGAATAGTCTCATTTCTGGGCACATAAAATTGGGTCATTTGAGGAGGGCAAGGTCATTATTTGATGAAATGCCAAATAAGAATATTGTGTCTTGGACAGCAATGATCTCCGGGTACACAAAGTTGGGGTGCTATGGTGACGCTTTGGATGTTTTTCGGAGAATGCAAATGGTTGGTGTTGAGCCTGATTGGATTAGTTTGGTTGCCGTGTTGCCAGCTTGTGCACAGTTGGGTGCTCTTGAGGTTGGGAAGTGGATTCATTTCTACGCAGAGAAAAAGGGATTTCTGAGAAAAACTTGTGTATGCAATGCACTGATTGAAATGTATGCAAAATGTGGGAGTTTGAATGAGGCTTGGCAGTTGTTTGATTGCATTTCAGAGAGAGATGTCATCTCATGGAGTACGATGATTGGAGCGCTTGCAAATCATGGACGAGCTAATGAAGCAATTGAATTATTTGAAGAGATGATTAGGGCAAGGGTTGAACCAAATGAAATAACCTTTGTTGGTCTTCTATCAGCTTGTGGACATGCTGGTTTAGTGAACGAGGGTTTAAGGTACTTTGACTCTATGAGAAATAATCATACCATAGAACCAGGGATAGAGCACTATGGATGTTTAGTTGATCTTCTTGGGAGGACAGGGTGCCCTGAAAGAGCTCTCAAACTTATAAAGAGCATGCCAATGGCGCCAGATTCAGCTATATGGGGTTCGCTGCTCAGCTCTTGCAGAATTTATCGGAATCTTGAAATTGCCATTGTGGCAATGGAGCATCTCTTAGAGCTTGAACCAGATGACACAGGGAACTACGTCCTGCTTGCAAATATTTATGCAGACCTTGGAAAGTGGGACATTGTTTCAAAAATGAGAAAATTTATTCGAAGTAAGAGCATGAATAAAACACCTGGTTGCAGTTCGATTGAGGCGAACAATTCAGTTCAAGAATTTGTATCAGGAGACGATTCAAAGCCATTTACCAAGGATCTGTATTGGATACTGAATCTAATAGCATTGCAGCAAAGTGAAACCAATGATCAGATAGATGCCATAACCACGTTAGAGGATATTAGATAAATCATGCATAGTCAGAGAAGCATTCAAAATTTACTTTTGCAGTATGCTGTGGAAACTGCAAACTGTCATTTCTGTGCTCTCTTCAGGAGTTCTGTTGGTGGAAATGGCTTTTCAGTAAAAAATACATAGCACTTTGTTGGTAGAGGGTGATTTTCTACCTCTTTCCTCAACAAATTAGATGCAAGTTTGAAGCTTAAGTAGTTGCATTGAAGCTGGGGCCAAGCATCTTACAATTATTAAGCTATACAGCCCTAGAAGCATGCAGTTTCAAATTATAGAATTAGCTTTGGAAAGAAAGAGTCAGCTCAAAAAGCTTTGGATATCCTGCTGTCAATTCCTTTTAGAAGGTACACTAACTTTAACAGCTCTGAAGGTTTCTTGCTCCCATTTGAAGGCATACCACCTTTTCTTCTAGCAATAAAGTTTCAACTAGTACAATCATTTGGAAATGCTCTCTTCTCTTTCTTTTTTTTTAAACTCCAGTTTAGTTTGGTAGTTTTGGAGAAAGAAGAATATTTGTCTACCATCAATCAAAAATTTAAATTCAAGATGCAATCAACTATCATAATTTTGGTGTTATTATCAATCCAATCTTTGCCGGGTAAAGGCCGCTCGACTAACAGTATGTAATTACGTTCTCATAATTTTGGTACTTTAATCACGTTAACAATACTCTGACTTGTAATTACGTTTTTCTTTTTTGGCTAGGTAAATCAGTTTATATATTCAGTTAAAGTTTTCATTTGTAGGTTCTATTTCCGGGAAAACCGTTCCAGGATTCACATCATTTTAGTACACGCTAGAACAGCAAGCCTACAGAGGTCTTTTTGGTCAGTTACAAGTACGCGAATCACACACATTCTGCATTCACTAGATGAATGTCAAGAATTGAAAAATCGTAGTTCAGAATACTATCTATCACTGAAAAAATAGGAGCTGCTTAGCAGTTTCCACAAACCCAGAGTATGTTCTCCTATTCCTTGATGGTTATTAAGGGATGGTGAATCTCCAAGGCAAATCTTTACAAACTGGGAAAGCGCAGGGAATGAAATTCCCCTCAATTTCTGCATCAGATATTATCATCTGCAGCAATAGAAACAGGACTCGAAAAACCCACAAAGTGCACACATCAATTTGAATCAAAGCATTATAATTTGAATTAACAAAATGATGAAGAACTAATTTTAACTATCTTAAATATTTGAGGCATTATTCTACATTCTACATTGAAGCACAGTAAAAGCGCCAAATGACAACAACTCCTCGGCAGAGATTATTAACTGCTACATGACAAAGCCAAAACAAATTTTACCAGTCGAGTTTTCCAGCCAAAGAAAGGCCACAAATAACCGTTACTGCATAAACGCTACAGTCCATGAAAATCGCACCTGTGACATCCTGCAAAAGGAATGCCAATTCCAGAGCACTCCCAAGTTGATCAGCCAAGCCAGTCTCACCAACCGAAGGACTGCTGGTTGGTTGCTGTTCAGGCCTCGCTAAACCTCTTTGCCTTTCTAGAAGCCGTGCTACTACAATTGTTACATTGGTCAAGAGAAGTAGATAAAGTGGTCTGAAAAATACAACGCTCTTAAAAAAGCTGCTACCTAATATTGGAAACCCCACAGAAGCCAAAACTACTAGTATGGCCACCACTAGGGCACACAAAGTGCGAGTACTCTCTGTCGCTACAATTTCCGATTTCACTGCCTTAGGTGAAACAATTTTGTGAAAATAAGATATTGCCTCAAAATAGTGGCCTTTCTGGGAGACAAAAAGCTGAGGATCCTGAGCTGGTGATCCTTTGCCATCAAGATCAAAGGAAGATACTTTAGAGGATTCCATGCTACTCTCACATTCGCGCATAATTGGTCCACCTCTGTCCCCAGTCATAAAATGCTCGCTAATTTCACTGACAGAGTCAAGACTTGGTGGCAGTGAGCCCGAGGATTTATCCTGGGTCTGGGGGGAAGCAGCGTCTGTGAATAAGAGAGTATTAAATGACAAAATGCCATAGACAAACGCAATATCAACATGATCTCAACTATCATACACATAAACTATTGCCATTTTTCTGGGATAACAATAACCATCTTTCTGAGAAACAGTGCAATGGCTGCATAAGCAGCAAGAATCATGTAGCGGAGAAGTTCACAGATTTCACCAAAATTGTCAGAAAATCGGGACTCACAGATATGGCGCAATCAGTAACTACTTTCTCGTAATTGGCTTGCTGCACTAAAACCTAGTATACAACAGATGAAATGAATTTTCTTCCCCTCTTCATCCCCATCCCGAACTCCACCAAAAGGATAGACAAATATCAAAACAGTAACAAGACAAAAGCCATCTTCACCATTACCAAAATCTAAACTTCACAGAGAAATTGCTAAAATCAAATTGATATCGCGAGTCCAGAATATCAATAGCAAGATGACAAAATATTCTCCAACCTTATATCCAGCTCAAGAAGTTATGCGCATGAAGAAACACATTCCCTAAAACCTTTTACTAATAAATTGGAAACCAAATCTCAACATCTTGGATTCAATTTGCGCACATCCAAATATCATATATTAAACGCGTTAAAAAAATTATGCTAATTACAAAAAATTAGGACAATTAAATCAGACAATGTGATAAGTTTTCATAAGCGGATTGCTAAGAAATGTTACTGCGCGTTTACCGTGGGACTGAGAAATCGACGGCGGACATGAGGCGGTGTGGGAGTGGGAACCGTGCGATTGATCGGATTCGGAATCGGATGGGAGGGTTCGGATTTGGCCGGTGATTAGGGCTAAACGATCGGTTCCTCTGTCGACTATGCGACGTCGTCGACCTTCCCTGCCGCTGCTCATCCTGCAATATTCCTCGGTTGCTGCCGCAAATCTGTATTTGACGTTAGAAAGAATAAAAGAGAAATGGGAAAGACAAAATCAATTACTACAAAATTGTAAATTAAGTTGGAGATTTTCTTTTTCTTTTTTTTTTTCTTAGAGACGAAATTGAAGTTAGAGTTAAAAGACAGGAACTAAAGAAGATATTGAAAATATTTTGTTTTCTTTTTTTAGTGCATAAAAGAATATTTTTTTGTTTTGAAAATGTAATAAAGAACCAGGGGAAAAAGGTTTGTGAAACGTGTCAGAAGTGGGATTTGAACCCACGCCCTCTCACGAGGACCAGAACTTGAGTCTGGCGCCTTAGACCACTCGGCCATCCTGACTTTCGTGCTCAGTTTGCTGCTAATCGACTTATAGGTCATGTTGCTGTGAATTCAACAACGACCACCGATTTCTTCTCTCCCACTCAAAGCAGATTTTCTCGTCTTATTAAGGGGATTGTTATTTCTTACTTGAATTATGCTTTGGTTCTATTGGTCCTCCGATAATTTGTAATCCTCGACCCACAGCGATCTAGAAAAATTTAGGATTGTCTTTGAAAATATCTAAACGAAACGTCAAAAAATCTTATCCAATAGTATTAACCAATACCAATTTACATCATAGAGCATATAATAGAGAGGTAAATTATTGAATTAGGTTATGATTCATTTAAAAAAAAAAAAAAAAAAAAAGGTAAACTGTGGCCAGTAGATTTCTTAACATATTTTGTCCTATTTAAATTGGGATAATTTCAGAAACCTCCCTCAAGGTTTCTTATAATATCACTCAACTCTCCTAAAGTTTTTAAAATTTCACTTACCTCCCTTGAGTTAACATTTCTTGTAATATTTTAACCGCCTTGGAGGAAATACAAGAAAGAAAAAACTTTTGTTCTAATACTATTCTTATATTATCCTAGTTATGAAATTTATAACAACAATAAAAAATAAAATAAGGTTGAATTTTTATAATGTGTAAATTTCTTAATCGTAAACTATTTATTTTAGTTGTATTGGAACAAAAACAAAAATTACACCTTGAAAAATTCACAAGTATGAAGAGATTATTTTAGTTTTCAATACAACTTAAACTACATCATGAATTAAAATATATTTTTCCAAAAAATATCTTGACTTTCTTAGTTGTAACTGCGTACGAAATTTTTTAAGGTGTTAATTACTCTCTAAAATCCTCCTAAATTGTTGATCTTGATTAGATTTAATTTTTTCATGTCCTTTGCTATTCTACCATGACTGCAATGGAAAGAAATATGGACTATTATTAGCTAATAATTTTTTTAATTTACATTTTTTGCTTTTAAAATTTTATTTTGTTTTGGCTTTTTGGTTAAATAGTTATTAAGAGTAAGGGTAATGTTGTCAATTGGTGGCCTTTGATAGGAATATTTAGTCTTGTCAAGCTGACAAGAGGAGGTAAGTGAGATTTTAAAAACTTGAGAAAAGTTGAGTGATATTATGATAAACCCAGTAAAGGTTTCTGAAATTATCCCATTTAAATTTCTTAATTACACCTTTACCCCCAAAAACCTGTATCTTGCCTGATCGCCATATAGCTTCCAATGAATTACCATCCATTCCTGACTAATGAGCTGTTTTCCAAATTTGGCATTTGAAATTAGAAATAAGGAAAAGGGAAACGAGTAGACCTTAACACACTTCAACGAACCTTAGGAAGCGGCAGCAAAGCTGACCATAGAGGAGCAATTGATTGCCGAAGTACCTATTTCCTGAATGTCTCCTCTTTTATCATCCAGTAATAGTAGCTTTTACAGGTTTACCAATAGTACTCGTACTGCCCTGTGATAAAGTTTGCTGAAAATGCCTTTACAAAAAAAATAAAAATGAAAAAAAGGAAGAAAAGAAGCCTGCTCAAATGAGTCTTCACTCTTCAGTGAGCTGCTTTCAATAGGGACCTCGCCATAAACCATTAATCCAACCATCACCTGTAGAACCGTCAAAGAAAACATGAGAAAGATCTTAATAGTTTGTTGAATGGATTTAAAGACAGAGAAACAATAGTTGCAGCCGCAGCAGCTAGCGGCACCGGCAATTTGCTAGTGTATTACTGACAACAGCAATACTCCACTTGGCTTAACATTCGATCTTGCTTTTATATTCAGAAGATACGTTATCAACTCCAAGTTGTGCCCAGGTAGTCAAAGTACAACAGCTAGAACTGGTGCTAAGTATTCATCAACATACTGAGGATGCAAGGAGAATTAAATAAACTGCATTAGCTATCAAAATGAAGCCTTCAAACAAGGGCATCATACGGTTTAGAAAGCCTGATAATAGTGCCATGGATTTAAACATTCAAATTCGATCTAATAAAGTTAAGCTGATCTACCACAGCTTCTAGTATTTCCAATAGCAAACTACATTTTTACATCTGTCAAAATTTTGTTTCTGAAAGACAACACAATTAGTAACATCCCTTGTTACCTAACCTACTTCCAATCCCAATTCTTTGAGCTGCCTGATGCATCAATGTCAGTAGCAGCAGCCTGTGATGCGTTTCTGCAGATTCTTACTCTCTTGTTCATATCTTTTGGCGACTTTTCATCTTCTGAATCAGGGACAATACCAGACTCCAAAGCAGTGTTGACTACAGGTCGTTGCCTCAATCGGTTCTTTGTAGTTAAGCTTACAATTTCTGGAATTTTCATGTTGGTATTCCCACCATGTCTCTTACAGCCACGTGAAGCATTGGATTCATGGACTATCCAACCATCCAAATTACGGAACACAGGGTTTAAACTGTTTTTCTGGTCAACATTGTTGTTTCCCTCGAACAAATTTATTACCTCTTTGTCGACATCAACACCAACATCCTCAGAACCATCATTTGCATTCAGACCCAGATAAGTGAATTGATGCTTCTCAGAGTCGGTGTCACTCTCAGTAGACTGACTCTCCCTTGAGTGGCCAGAATTTGAAACATCAATAGAGAGAATTTGATCCTTTCTTCCCCGCACATCATGCTTCACTTCACACCTTAGCTGTTCAGT